TACCGACTGACTGTGCTGCAGTGCTTCAATAAACAACATTGGCTGTGATATGCAATATTCCCTAATATCAATGGGGTCTCTCTGGAATCTAATATTTACTAGTTTCTCAAAGTAGTGTTGGTTAAGGTTTTTAAAATAAAAGAATACAGCGCAAAGAGAAGCAGAATAAAAAACCGGCTTTCATATTTACATATTAAAATCTCTGTTTGATATGCAGCTTCTGCTATGTAATAAATAGTGCTTGCATTTCTTTGTTTTTTATTTGGTGAGGAAGAGGGGCTGCATCACGACTCCACCTGAAAAAAGAGGTGGTTGTAAAATATATATATTAAAATGGAAGTTTTATAGCTTTATTAAATAGCATCTGGAAACCTCAAAAAGTTTAGCAAGTGCCTCTAAGGGACTGGCCAAATGGGAAGACAACAGCAGACTATTCAAGATTCAGGAAGAATGGTGTCCAGAAGTTGTGCTGATGTTATAGTAGCATTTCAAGTCTTCAATCTCACTTTGCAGACCATCTGTTGTATACGTTGTAAACAAAACTCTAAGGGGAAAAAAGGAAGTCAACACTATAAAAAAATCTAAAGCTATTTCCATGTGTGATAAAAGCCCCTTTAATGCATTCAAAAAGGCTGAACAAACATATGTGGGGATCAGGGAAGTGGCATCGCCATGGCAGGTTCTGCCCCAGACCAACACATATTCATTAAAACCTGTATTCAGAGTCCAAAGCATATTGGTATATGCTCTCTAAATAGGGGGCTTCAGATGATATCCCTGAAGTGTTAAAAGCATGCTGGGTCACCCGTCTGCCATACCTGCTAGCCATACCCTCGCCACTAGTTGTGTGTTCTGCGATGATGAAAAAGGATTATATGCATGTAAAAAAAATGTAAAGGACCCATGGATGGCTAAGCCCAGTCAAAGGCGACTATGGTGTTGCAGCGCTCACCTCGCTTTCAGGCCAAAGGAGCCGGCGTTTGTCCACAGACAGCTTTCCGGGTCATGTGGCCAGCATGACTAAAACGCTTCTGGCACAACAGAACCTCGTGATGGAAACCAGAGCACACGGAAATGCCATTTACTTTCCCGCTGCAGCGGTACCTATTTATCTACTTGCACTGGCATACTTTCGAACTGCTAGGTTGGCAGGAGCTGGGACAAAGCAATGGGAGCTCACTTGGTTGCGGGGATTCGAACTGCTGACCCTCTGATCGGCAAGCCCAAGAGGTTCAGTGGTTTAGACCACAGTGCCACCTGCTGTACCAGAATAGGTACACAGAGACCCTCATGATCCCCACTAGGAGTTAGTACATTCATAAGAGCCCCTTCTCCCAGATGTAGAGCATGGGGCTGGTGAGTGTGATGGCAGCAGAGGCAGGACTGGTGCTATTATTTATGTATTTAAAATAATGCTGTCAATTACAGTTTCTCTCATTTTTGCAAGCTTAGATTTAGTTTGCCATGTATCTGCATCAGAACTGTTGGAACAGTTACAACAATATTATTTGCACATCTTAATCACAAGCCTACAAGATGTCAATATAAAACAGTGTATGGCATTAGCTTAACTACTCGCTTACAGGTTCCTTTGATAAAATGAGGATCTTTTAAAGCAGGTACACAGAGGTCAGATAATATTTACGTTTCTAACATATTCCCCCCCAAAAGATATTGTTTGTTTTCATTATAATAAATTATGGTCAATAATTCTGACTATACTATATGCTTGAATATTTGTGCAGCAGAAAATGTAAGTCAAGTGCTCTTGTTTCATTTTAGCACACAGAAAATTGCTGCTGTTGCACTGGGAAATATCCTAGAAAAGAAAAACCTACAACCCACAGAGTTCTATAAATATTTTACTGGCCATTTCACTTCTATACCCCTGGGCACCTTCAAAGTCTCAGATCAAACAATCCTTTTCAGTCGGTAAGTACTTGCCGTTTGGATAGTTGGGAAAGTTTGACTTTTTGCTTTGCATTTAAAATCCTGGTAAAGCCTGAAGATTCGTGCTGGAACCAATGCAACATATATTTGACATAACTAATACTATTTCCAGAATTGTGAACAGTCTAAAAACTCTTTCAAATTTCGCAAACAATATTACCTTAAACAGCATTGTATACACACATATACACATACACCCCTTCAATCCATCCATAAGCGGAGCTGCTGTTGATGTGTGGCTAGATTATCATCAGTTATGTAGCTGGATAGTGGATCTACCCTATCTATTTATGTAGCAGGTTTTCAAACTTTACTTACTTCCACTTTGGATTTGTTTGCAGCAGCACACTACATATTTGCCACACAGAGCTCCCGTGGGCTGCAGATTATTCTGCATTCGAAAGCACACTCATATTTAACATAGACACAAGACAGGCACGATAGATGTCACATCCTAGCCATGCTCGAGTTTGGGACCAAGAACATTCCCAACGCATGTCTGTGTATTTTTTTCTTTAAAGGATGTTTGTCTGCCATTATTAATCTATAGGATTCAGTAATAAGCTTCCAAGAAACCCTAATGTCCCACAGAATAGAGTGCGAAAATGACTGCCATATGTAATTTGACTAGATAAAACTGAAACACGACTGCAAATGGAATGGCTCTTAGCACACCGTGGGCTACAAATAAGCATGGCAGCAGCAATCATACTAGAACAATGAAGTTTCCCTTTAGAGAGAAAGTTTTCATTTTCAGTTTTGATTTCCAGCATTGTTTCATTGTGGCTGCCCTACTTTTATGGCTCATTTTCAAATATAATGGGGGGGGGGGAGCAGTTGCATTATAAACTCTCAATTTTGGGTTATATTCTCCTTTGAATGCATAATTCCCATTAGTGCTAATGAGAATTATGCGCATGCACCTAGGGAAGAATCATGTCCCTAAGCTCATTTAATAAAAAAAAGCAAAAGATAAAAGCAATTGCTGCTGCTGTGCTGTTTGAAAGTCTTTGCTCTTGTGGCCTGCTCTTTTTTACTGAAATTCCTGGGTGGCGAAGCTCTATTGCATACAAATGAATATACTTTATTCCACTTCAGTGTCCTTTGGGGGAAGCAGGGAGCAATCATTTCAATTTATTTAGAGGAAAAAGAAATGTGCAGATGTTTTGAATGGCACAAAACTCAATTTTTTCTCTGTTTTCCTTTAATGTTTCTGGAGTTGTTGGGATCTTGATCTACCTCTGTAAACAGCAAATCTGGTTTGTTGAAAGGTCAAATTTCCATGTCGTATATCTTCTCCTTTAATTATGCTACCTTTTAAAGAATGTGCCTTTCTTTCACAATCAGAGAGTTTGTCTAATGTGGCCCTGATCGTGAGATTTTCTGCAGAGTAAACCTCTCCGCAACCTACCTGAACCCAACACCCACTCATACACACTGCTGGTGACCCATATTTTCTAGACTCACCTCTGTGCACGATGAGCTGTGGCTTCACCAGGCTAACTCTTCTAGTCATCTCTCATCCTGAAGATGCAGCACGCATAGCTAAAGTCTCACAAACAAAAGGCAAAACCTAAGGCTCATTCACATGGCAATATGAGCAGTTGGCAGCAACAGTGTTTTGTCTGGTTTATGCTGGATTTTAACCCTTGCTGCCAAATGGTAAATTGGTCAAATAAAAGTGCTGAGCAGTTAATGTGCTTTTACTATGTACTCCAAAGCTACAGGTATGGTGATATGCATGCAAAAGACTTATTAGCACTTAACTCATGGTGGGTGGTTTTCACTTTCACAAAATTATCTCAGCTCAGAGCAAGCTGGGTGAAATAATTGATCTTGCTAAAGAAAATCCATAGTCTCAAAAGAAAAATAAATTAAATGGCCCTTGGGCTTGAACAGTTCATATTGGTCACCTCTAGGTCCATATGCAGAATATAGGTAAAGGTAAAGGGACCCCTGACCATTTGGTCCAGTCGTGACCGACTCTGGGGTTGCGGCGCTCATCTCACTTTATTGGCCGAGGGAGCCGGAGTACAGCTTCTGGGTCATGTGGCCAGCATGACTAAGCTGCTTCTGGCAAGCCAGAGCAGCGCACGGAAATGCCGTTTACCTTCCCGCCGGAGCGGTACCTATTTATCTACTTGCACTTTGACATGCTTTCGAACTGCTAGGTTGGCAGGAGCTGGGACCGAGTAACGGGAGCTCACCCCATTGCGGGGATTCGAACCTCCAACCTTCAGATCAGCAAGTCCTAGGCTCTGTGGTTTAACCTACAGCGCCACCCTTCCCATATGCAGAATATTTAACATTAAATGGTGCACATGGGCGTCCTTCACAGGGTTACTAAAAATCTCATGATTATGCACAAAAGGACACTTAGGGAAATGTGAAGTGATCCATAGTGGAGTATGATTTGTTGAAATGTCTGCCACAAATTGCAACAGAAAATTTCAATTTTGTTATCAAGTCAATTCTGCTGTGTCAGAAATTAATGAACGCTGCTCACCCCATCAAATCTGAAATGGCGCTCCTGAAGCTAGACATAATGATTCAAATATTTCCATGCATCTCTATCATACAGCTAATATGGATGTTTCTTTAGAATTGTTTCAACTAACCACCTCATTAGCAAAAGGTCAGTTTTTGAGGGAATTTCTTCCAACAACCAAAAGAAAAAAATTTGGCATGGATATTCTGATGCAATACAAATTGCATATATATGTGTGCCTGTGTATTATGTTCTTATGGCTACTAATACTTATCGCATTATGAATAGAGAGTTTGAGCAGCCAAATTAGAAAACATGTGGTTCAAATGAAACACGATCTATGAACTTTACATACTTTCCAATTTGAAGAAATTGAACATGGATTCCTAGGGGATGGAACTGTTCAGAAGCTTAAAATGAAATGCTTATTATTGGGTCCCTATTGAGGCATTCCCAGCTTTGGTCTAACATGACATCCTTTTTTACTTTTAAATCATAGAATTGTGGAGTTGGAAGGGACTCTGAGTCCAACACCCTGCTAAGCAGGAATCCTGCCCACAGCTATCCCTGGGTGGGCTCGAACCACCAACCTTTTGGTTAATAGGCTGATGCACTAGCCCACTGTGTTACTGGCTTACTATGATATCAGATGCCCAAGCAAAACCACCAGTAAGAATATAGAGGATTCACAGTCACCCCTATGGACCAATCCAATATTTCTAATTATAAAATATCAGGGTCCCATCATATGTCAGAATCAGCTAAACACGAATTGGGAGCATCCTGTGTACATGCTAACATGTAGCATCCAATGGTGCCACTCCAGCATTCGGAAAGAATGAGAGAAAAGCAATGTTTCCTTTCCCAGAGCTCCAGTGTGATTCCACTCTTGAACTCCAGCCCAGAACCTCACTGCTCTGGACTGACTTGACCTGGCTATAAACATTTCTGGATCAGGTCTTGATCCCAGTTAGTCTTCTTAGTGTGGCTCGACAGTTTTTGTCTATACTCTTCTTCCTCCTTGCCTGCCTGCTTGCGTGCCCCTTGATCTCTTTGCACATAAGGTGCAGATCTCTGTGATACAGATACTCTGGTAGTGGGACAGAACACAGACAAGCTACAAAGAAAGAGCCTGGGGTGGACTTCACTCAGTTTTTATTATCATGGGGGCAGACCTTAGCAGTCTTTGATGGTTCCCAAGTGGAGCCATGGAACACAAGTTGTCTGTTTAACCAAGGTATATGTCTACCCAAGAAAAACAGGTGAAGAGGGGAAACTGCATCTGTACTCTCATTGTTTAGCCTAGATGCTGAGGTCCAGCTCTGAGGACCTTCTGGCAGTTCCCTCACTAAGAGATTGAGACTATAGGGAACCAGAAGGCCCTTTCAGTAGTCACATTGGCTCTGTGGAATGCCCTCCCAGCAAATGTCAAAGAGTTAAACAACTATTAATTTTTTTGTAGGCATCTGAAGACAGCCCTGTATTGGGAAGCTTTCAAAGATTGTTGTTGTTTTTCCTGTATTTTTGTTGGAATCCACCCAGAGTTGCTGAGGCAACCCAGTCAGATTGGTAGGGTACAAGAAATGTATTATTATTATTATTATTATTATTGCAACTGGCCTGAAGGCGGGGAAAACATTTACAGGCAATGAACAATTTGCAATCCTACATGCACACTAACCAGTCCTTCTGCCTTTCTATCAGCCTGGCTACATATCTGCCCAACATTTCCCCATATTACTGAATCTCCACTCCAACCTTTTTTGGACAGACTTCTTGATTCATAAATCAATCAGTTAAGTAAATTAGGCTGCAACACTTGTCTGGGAGAAATTCCCACTGAACTCAATGGGACTTGTGTCTGAGAAAACATACATAGGCTCACACCACTTGTCATATTCAATGCTTTTATGTCTGTTTTTCTCCACTTTAATACAACAGTAGCCATAACTGAGAATACTGAAATGTGGGGAAACTGCAGATTGATTTTAGATTATGTGGGACTGTGGATTGATGCTGATATGACCCTTTAAACAAACCTTCCTTTGCCAGCATTAACTAATAGGTACACGTTATATAACAGACCTTCTTAAACGTCCTGGGAGGTTAGATAAAAAATTGGTACTGCCTATGTTGATAGGTATCTCTTTTTGCATCTTACTGTGGCCAATGCACAAAATATTTTCTATTTTGAATTACAGGTGTTATGGTTACTTTTCATTTATTTTAAATAGTATGCTTGCAGAAGACTAACATATTAATTAGATAAAATTCATATATCATAAACTTAGATAAAAGCAATTATGTTTCCTTCTGTTTGCTTTTTAAGGAAGATATTTGTGGACTTTGTCCAGAATTGATTTCCTCCTATATGAAACCATGGCTCTTATCTATCTCACTACACTGTAATCTGTAATTATATTGGCAAGCAGCAGGGATTGCAAACATACCCTATTTCTCACAGTGCCCAGTATGATTTAGGATCAGCAAATAGGAGACTAGATCCATCTGAGTGCATTGCACATCTTTAACCAACAGCAGACTTGCTGACAATGAAAAATATTCCCCATAATTGTACATAAATGTAGAATCACTGCTCCTCTGAATGCTCTGGCAGTTACTTCTGAGTAAGTTTGCACAGAAGTGGAACATACTGTAAGAATGTCTACTCAGATGGCTGCATCAAATTTAATTGGGTTTACTCCCAGGTACATGGTTATAGGAGGAAATCCTATGATTCTCTGAAACTCTCAGTCTAGGGAACTTTGGGAGTGGCCTTCAATTAACTGCAAGTACCGTAGTTGGGATAACTAAAGAAGCACAAAAAAAACTGGGATAAAGATGCAGAAGCACTGGCATGTGTCAAAAGTGTTCTTGTTGTCAATTTTGATACTGTTTTCTGACCCCTGAGCCATCTGAAGGCAATCCTGTATAGGGAAGGGGTTTTTTATGTTTAAAGTTTTATTGTGTTTTTATATATGTTGGAAGCTGTCCAGGGTGGCTAGGGCAACCCAGTAAGATGTATAAATAATAAAATTATCATTATGGAATGGGACGTCCCTATTTTCATTGGAGAAATGTTGGGAGGGTATAAAAGTGATATGGTTGTATCCAAATTTAGTGATATTCAGAGTAGACCTATTGAAATTAATGGACATGACTAGCAAAGGTACATCAATTCCAATGGGACTACTCTAGTTAGACAGGGGTCAGCAATTTTTTTTAGCAGGGGGCTGGTCCACTGTCCCTCAGACCTTGTGGGGGGCCGGACTAGTTTTTTTTGGGGGGGCGGGATGAACGAATTCCTATGCCCCACAAATAACACAGAGATGCATTTTAAATAAAAGGACACATTCTACTCATGTCAAAACACACTGATTCCCAGACCGTCCATGGGCCAGATTTAGAAGGCGATTGGGCCAGATCCAGGCCCCAGGCCTTAGTTTACCTACCCATGGATTAGAATTTAGTTGGATACATCTCATTGTTTCATTAGGATAGTCAGAAAGAATGTCATTTTTATGCCACTAGTATGGCAAAATCTTGAACCTATGTAGAAGAAAAGTTTCAGATGATTGTACTGTATATTAAATTATTAAATTACATGCCTTTAAACAAAAGCAAAAATAAACAATAGCCATTAAAAAAATAAAGGAAAGGAAATTCAAAATCCCTTTAACAAAGAATGGATATTACCACCAGGGGGCATGGGTGCTCTTTCTCAACATCATTAGCTATCTTGCTACTAAGAAGAAGCTTAAAATTCTCTGAGCTGGGATTTCAGGTTTCTGTTTCTTCATGAAGAAAGATAATATACAGTGCTAGTAATATTATTTCTCAGACAATTCACAGTGTAGAAAAGCTTAGACCAGCATTTGTGCTTAACAACTAGCATATGTTGCAATGTATATGGAGAAATATTGCTAGCAAGAACTGGATAAAGGGACTATACTGTCCAATTTTCTGATGAGCTCATTATTTCTGAGTGTCCAGGTTAAGATAAATTGTACCCAAGCTTCAGAATTGCTGAGGATTAAGAGCTTTGATTAAAACCAATGACTGCTAAAATAGGAGTCATAGCTGGGCACTCGTATGTTTCAAAGAAAGCTATTCTCAAACCAACATCCTTTTTTAGGAATCAGAATTATCTTTCGAATATATTTACCAAATAACATACTGCACCCAATTTTTGAAACTTTACCACTGACTTGAAGGTGACAGAATTCACAAGGCCTTTATAAAAAAAGTCCTGGTATTAAGCCTAGAAATATAAATATATGAGGTTCTGGAAAATGGAATGATCAGCTGGATAGTCAAGAAATACTTCACATAAGGGGTTAAAGGTTGTACTTTGCTTTGGAGGCCAATTCAAGGCACCCATATTGGTGTTTAAAGCTCTAAATGACTTAGGCCCCAAGCATTGAAAAACCACCTCCAAACCTACTCTTGGTAATTGAGAAGGTGTTCTCCTGGTAGTTCTGTCACTCTCAGAAGTGCGAGGAAAGGCTAACCAGGAGATAGCTTTCATGCTGGCCACATGACCCGGAAGCTGTCTGCGGACAAACGCCAGCTCCCTCAGCCTATAGAGCAAGATGAGCACCGCAACCCCAGAGTCGTCTGCGACTGGACCTAATGGCCAGGGGTACCTTTACCTCTAATTTTTGGAACGTTCTCTTTACAGAGGTGCACCTAGCATCTTCATTAGACAGCTTCCATTGTATGCTGAAGACGTACCTCTTATTTTGGCCTTTGGCAGTAAGGTATTTTTGTGGGACCTTCTGCTTTGTTGAATCTATACTCTGCTGCAATTTATTTGGAATTGTTTTAAGTTGTTTTTATAATTGTATATAAATCGTTTTATTTATTTTGCCTGTATAACTCTGTAAACCACTGGGTGACCTTATGGGGTAAGAAATAATGTAACCAAATAAATAGAATTGGGTATGACTTCAGACACACATATACATAGACACCTCCAAGACTTAAGTGAGGAGGGGGCACCTTCTGTTTCCTTTCATCATTATCCCATCCTTTTTTTTTGCTTTCCATTTCAATCATATTGGCAGGCAATGTGATGCCATAAGAAGACAGCATAAGACCAAAATGTAAGGGCAAACTGGTGTTAAACCATGCCTGGAATAGAACTCTTGATGGGCACTTCTGCATGGGAATTAAGAATATTGTGCTGGATGGAGGTACCAGGGTTTCCAGAAACCAGGTGAAGATATTTAACTGAAATTATTTATCAGGAAGATTGTCTTCCGTGAAGGCTCTTTCAACCCAAAATAGTTCCCATGCTTCTTCTTAGAAAAGAATGGGGGAAATGGTATGAAGCATTTCAAAGCATACTCCTCTGTTAGGATTGTTGGTACAGATTGGTTAATCCACTTTCAGAATCACATGGCAGTCAGATTTTTAATAACTGATTTTATTTATGCTTTAGTACATCCTGCAATTCTGAAATATTCCACAGTGAGAAATATGGAGAAAGAAATGAGTGTAACAATTACTTTGACTTCTGCTTTCTTGCACTGAAATTTACACTGGGGAGGAAGAGGTGAAGAACAGTTCTTTGGGAAAATAAATTAGTTTTAATAAGAAGAATGAAAACCTACTTCTATTTTCATCCCAAAGCATTCACAATTCAACACATTAACCCCTCAGTGCCGTGAACTCTAAATCCACAAATTTAATGTTCTGTCATTTACTGTATAACACAGTGCACACTGTCTCTTCAGCATTAAGTATTGATTAAATACTACAACAGGAACAGTGGCCTCCCTATAACCCACACTTTTCACACCTTGTTGTGGACCTGGGTTCAAAGAGTTGTGTGACAGATGAAGTGGAAGAATGGCAAAATAGCCTGTCGTGCCTCTGACCCAGCAATTCCCACATTTCTTGCAGGGATTTAGGGGGTTGGGGACAGTGGGCAACTTAACAGGTAAACAACTAGGGTTGATTTAACAAGGGGAGGAGAGCAAGTTGAGTAACACAGATTTAAAAAATACTGTTGTGATAAATCTCTATACAAAAAAATAGAAGAGAATTGAGGCTGATAAAAATAATTATCCGCAGGAGAGCAATTAGAGTCTCTCAGACCTGTCTATGTCTGACTATACAGCCCTGGGCTGGGATGTAGTTGTAGCCGCAGTCTCTGTTATTCCCTGGTGCTAGAGCTGCTGCTGGGTGATGGAAGATGGCAGCCCTTTTCTCCCTCGCCCACTTCTCAGGATGGTTCCTTTCATTCACAATCACAGCAGTCTCCTCAGTTTCCTTTCTCTCCCCCCCCCCCGAATTTCTCTCATTAGCTTTCCCTTTCTGAATCTTTTCAACGAATGCTGCTCAGAATATCTCTGAACTCTTCCTCAATTTCTTCCAAAAGAACCATTCCATCCTCTATAATAGCTCCTAAGACCTTGTATGAATAGAAGCACATTCCTCTAACAGTGTGTGTGTGGGGGGGGGGTTTGCAGCAGTTAAAACCGGGAATTTTCATCTGAGGTAGCCTAGGGTTGCCATATTTCAAGAAGTGAAAATCCGAACACAAACAAATTGTTGACCTTTCTTTAGAAAATTCCCAAAGTTGTTGAATTCTTTTGGGTGAATAGCTCATTTGTTGAGGTTTTTTTAAAGAAAAAAACCCCTAACCCCCTCCCCAATGATTTTTCATTTATGTTGCCACTTTTCGGAAATCCCCCCTGGACGTCACTTCTACCATAGAAGTAGTCACTAAGGTGGAAATTGAAGCAGGGACAGTCTTTTTCCAGATTAATTAACCCAGAACATATTTTCTCCTCTGGCTCCATCCATTATTGACTCTGGCTTCTCTCATGGTCGGTATGTTATCTAGGGCAGATAACTCTTGAGGGAGTGCAGTCCTTGGCTTCAAAACATATTGCCTACTTCTGCTGTAGGGCTGAAACATAGGGGACACCTGAGTTGATTATGTGATGCTAAGAATTGATCTCAATGGGAGATTTTAGGAAAGGCTATTGAAATTATGAGATAGACAGACTTGGACATTCAGTCCATATAAAATTGACTGTGCATGCCTAATAGATTCTTGATGTGGTTATTCTTGATGTTGATTAATCCTATCCATGGCAATACGGTTCAGTGGTTTTCCAAGAAAGATCCCCCCTTTTTTAGTCTTCTGTTTCCCAGAATGGGTCAATAGCCTCGACAAGAGCAGCTAGCATAAATTAAAATATCTCTTCCACAAACTTTGATTAAAAATACAGACACATCTTATACATAACATGATGTGGGCTCCAACTTTCAGTATCCTATATGCTTTTCCACTAGAAATTTCTGTATTTAGGTGAGAGTGCATGCCAAGTCAGAAGGTCACCAGTCTTTAATATAAAATGTAATGTGAATGTAGGGCAGCAAGTTATAAATTCAGATCCATACTCCTCACAGAGGCAGCAAAGGGGAAATAATAATGGCTAGGTTAACTATGAAACAAATTAGCTTTTCAAGCCCTGATACTGGCTACCAGACTATAACATTTTTATCATGGTTGTAACAATAAATTAATGCATTGTTTGCAATCCTGTCTTATGACCATTTATGACCATACGGTGCTGATGGGAATTGTAGTTCAAGAGATCTGGAAGACACCAAGTTGGTTGCACGAGGCCTTCTTAATTCCACCTAGCTGATGCCTAAAACATCTTGTATGAGGCAGACAACAGATTGTACCTTCAAGACTAGAGAGAACTCAGACTGTTTTATTTGCTGGCAGTTAGTCATGCAGTTCTAAACAGGGCATATTACAAATAGCGCTGAACGTAGATGTTTTTTCCTACTGGTGTGCAGTTTACTAATGGGATTTCGCAAAAGAGCATGACCTCTCATCATATTAATATTTAATCAGGCAATAAACATGTCTTGCTCAGAAGCTCAAGGCTGACAGAATCCTCAATGGCTATGTTCTCTCCGTTAAATTGACAGTAATTATTGTGGCACATTTTGGCGGTTCGATATGGAGAGCCTGTATAGTCATAAACACGCGGACACAGAGGACGTGCACTACTTTTAATATATACCATGAATATATTTATATTTGATTCAGATCCACATGGCACATATAATTACCCTTTCTTAAATTCTCAGTATTCCTAGATAACGTTGCCTGCTTCCAAATAGAGCTTTCAAGGGAGAACATCATTGCTGCCCTTCTGATCTGTGAATTCTCCAGGGAACTGGCTGTGGGGAGCAGGGCAGGACAGGGGATGAAAGCATACTAGATACAAATGTACCTGAAAAGGTTTTAGCAGGCACTGCTTAGAGGATCATAGATTTCACGACATTATAAATTGGTAGTTACAAGAAAACAAAGCTGCGAATGCATAACTGGCTGGGCTCCAGATCAGGGCAAGTTCACATGTTCATTCTTCAGTGGTGGCAACATCAAGTGATGACTTGAGTAAAGCAGGTATCACAATTCAAGCATCACAGACTGAGGTGCTAGATTACCTGACATCACCTCAAACATAATGTTTTCCAGTGAAGGCTATTCACACATTTAGCTGCTAGTCTCCCAACTGTTATAATATTCTGCTCATGGACATGATATCCTGAGAAGCTTTCCAACATGCCATCCTAACGATTAAGCATCCTATCTTAGTAGTTACCCTGCATTCCCCTAAATCCAAAACCTCTGTGTGTGTGTGTGCGCGCGTGCGTGTGTGTGTGTGTTTGCGCGCGTGGGCTATACTGTAGTATAAACAATTTGCTAGAAAAAATAAGAGAGACAAAAAAATTGGCATTTGAGACTGTTTAATCGGCAGCAGATTGACAAGGTTATTGGAATGCATGGCTCAAACCGCACTGATGATGAATATGCATACAAAACCCTAAAAATGGCTAAATCAACATTGTAGTTAGGTAAATTTAGACTCTGGATTTAATAGTCTTGACAGGGAATATGGCTTTTTACATGGGATTATTCCCCCACCTGACTTACTTCAAAATATGGCAAGCAAGTGGATGGCTTTCTGTTTATTCTGTCAATTGGACCCTGCTCCAATTGAGGATTCTGCTCCACTGGCTAAACGTAGCGGCACATAAGTTAAAGCTATAAAATGTTGTTTTATTCTACCTGGACCTGATTTTTTAAAAGCACCAACACCATTATGTTCCGCAAACATCAGTGGGAATAAAGGGGAAGGGAAGACAAATCAGAAGAAGAATCAGTAGTAAAGGGAAGCAGAAATTTAGAGTTTCAAAACTGCTTTAATATCACTGTTGCCTAAGGCAAGACAGTCTCCCAAATGTGATGGATTGACTTAATAATGAATTTGTGCTGGTACAGCTAAAGCGCGAGGCCTGCTCTACACAAACAACAGATAAGGTGGTGAAATTGTTCCTGGACTGTACCACATCAGAGTGCAAATGTGGTTCACATGACTGAATGCTTTCTCTTATAGGAAACTTCACATATAGTAAACATTAAATACTGGGAAAGTGTTTAGCCTAGCCTGCATGGCATACTATGTGCAGATATTTGTTTTTGGTATTCCCTCCCTTTTCCACTGTCACCTGCAATCTGAATCGCAGCTTCCAGGAGCAGTTTCATTATTCCCACCAATTTATCATTTCTCGTGTTGTCCTGGGCGAGTTCTGTACCCAGGGTGCACCTGACTGTCTGGATGAGGTTTTCAAAAAAAACATAAAACATTTTTGTTCCCCTTTACTTTCAGATCCATTGGTGCATCTTTGTTTAGTTCCTATAGGGCAGGCATGGCCAAACCTGGCCCTCCAGCTGTTTTGGGACTACAGTTCCCATCATCCCTGACCACTGGTTCTGTTAGCTAGGGATGATGGGAGTTGTAGTCCCAAGACAGCTGGAGGGCCAAGTTTGGCCATGCCTGCTATAGGGCAACAAGGCCTGCAGAATGTGGCATAACAGGACCAAGGTATAATGGCCCTCAACCAGTACAACTCTTCCATCCTGCCAGTCCTAAGATGCTTGCTGGAAATGGTGAGCTGCTCCATCCTGCTAAGTGGGAATCATAACATTAACAGACGTTAATGTTAGATGTGTCACAGGGAAACTTTTTTTCAGGGTGATATAGGGAAAAAGTCATTGACAGGGATGATCAACATGAAGCTTTTAAGTAATAATACAGTAATGATATTTCTCTTTCTCTCCCTCTGGTATTTTGTTACAGCTGACTACATTCTTATGTTTTTATTATTATTTAGTAACAATTTTAGTAGGAAATGTTTAGCTAAACATTTTAGGGGAAAATAATGTGTACTGATTCAGGGACTGTTTAATGCCTTTATAAATATGACGGGTGAGTGATTAAGATAAAAGCATCCCTGAATTGACTGAGATGCTCTAAGAGATTAAAGTAATGAAACAAAATAACATCACAACGTTTAAAAGTCAAAGACTGCCAAAGGTGACTGACTGTACTAGTGGGGCTTTTTTATGGTGGCTTACTCCTTGGGCAGATGTAACTAGGGCATACCTATTATTATCTACTTGTGCTCATCTATCATGTACTGATGGGAAGAGCAAGATTTATAACTGCAAAGAGGTAGAGATTACTGTAAAATCTCTTATGTGAGTGTCATTGGTTTGTTGTTTCAGAGTGCTAAAGGAACAGACCATTTCTGTATATGAAAATGAGTGCAGCTTGATCTTCCCTTTGTGGCTTTTGAAGGGAGTTCATAAGCTACTCACAGTGCTGTATTGTGATGAAAGAAGCTGTACCTGTGTGTTGATGCAACACATCTATGAAAGCAAGGCTTTCAACAATTGGGCTGCCAGACGTTGTTGGGCTCCAACTCTCACCATTTGTGACAATGGGCCATGCTAACTGTGCAGTCCAACAGCATGTGCCTTTATTAAAGACCAGGAACAGTCTGTGCCTCCTGCCAGTAAAATCACTGCCATTTACTGGCAAGGAAAGAGAGAGGTAGCAGAGAGACCAGCAATGTGCAGATGCATTGGCGGGAGTGCCATATTGGATCCATCCATGCAACCACAGAGTGCCAACCTCCCTGTCATCTTGTCCCTGATTTCCCAGTGATCCGCTGCTCCTGTTAAAGACATGGCTGATCTAGGGACAGGTGGTCTCTTTCTCAGCTCCCATATGCTGGGCTGTAGAAATTTGGGAACGGCATGAATGTCTTCCATTTTCCACTTAAAACTAAACACTATGAAGCTACAAGCTGACTCATTTCGCTGAAACACCACAGATCTACAGGGCATCATTTCAAGAATCTGATTGATTCTCTGTACATCAAAAGAAAGGGAGACAGTAGCTTAAAAAAAGAGACATTTGTGGCATTTATGAAAGGATTTATAGTGTCTAGGTGTCTCTTTACTTTGAGAAAAATGAATCTTTCAGACATTGGGTCTATATTCATCCTAGAGATTCTTTCTTCTATTTCCTGTCTCATTTAAACCAAGCTTTCCTCTTTTCATTTTTCATTGGTACTTGGACACCACAAATAGAGAGATCATAAGCATCCAGGAGCATTGGTTGAATAGAATAAGAGATCAAATAATGAATATAAGTATCCAAGTATTTACAAGCATGATTTTATTCTTGCTATTGAGCTGCCTTGACATAGGGTTGCCATATTTCAAATGTCTACGCAGGCCTACCTAGACAACCCAGATGTATAAAGTGTAAGGACCAGTACTAGAGTTGAGCTGAGAAGCGTAAACATTTGTTTTTCAACCATTCATTGAGTCAGAGGGGTTGAATAAATCTCTGCCCCAAAGGGAAAGTACATTTCTCATCAGTGTGCAGGAAGGTTGTTGACTACCTAACTTAATCTTACCTGGTAGATGAGGGTCACCAGGTTTGTGTGTGTGTGTGTATGTGTGTGCGTGCGCTATTCATTCATTCATTCATTCAAAAGCTTTGCGTGGCTCACAGCACTAAAGCTCTCTTCACTTCCCACCAGCCATGTTTCCTAGAGTGCCTTGAGAGTGAAGCCACACCATGTCACGTGACAGGGTTGCAAAACTGAGGAAGTACAGCTGGCAGGAAACTGTGGAGAGAGACTTGCAAAAAATAATAAAAGCAGGAAAAAATAGAAATCCCACAGCTATCTTGTAAGGTTAATTAAGGTGCCAACCTGAGCCTCACAAAATTCTTTACCAAGAAAGCAACAGAAAATAGACTTCTGTTTTCACAGCAGAGAAGATTTTCAGGAAACCAATACTTTGTGTGTGTGTGTGTGGAGGAGGGGTAAGACCAGCCTCAGTACTTACCATTTTCTTGCTGAATACAGCTAGCTCTTATCAGTTTTAGCTACCAGCCTAATCTGCCCAGTTGCCACCCTGTCAGGAATCTGAACCCATATAAAACCCAGAAGGGCTTGGTAATAGCATTTGTTGCCCCAGACGTCATCTGAGAAATATCTACTTGTCAGTTTGGCTCCAGACTCATTGCAGGAAAAGCTGAGCTCAGAATTTACAAAGCAGAAGTTTTGAGCTTACTGTTTAAGCCACAGGACATGACCAGTTTCAGCATCTTAGGCTATGGTCCTGTAACCAGTGATCTGGAGTAAGCCCCATTGTGCTGACATTTGAGTAGATATGTATAGGCAGAAGCAGTTTTAGGGTTGCACAACCAGTGTGATCGCACTGGGTGCCACCCTGAAGGGGGCACCCAAACAATGTCTCAGAATGGAATGCAAGAGGTGCGGCAGAGCACTGAATTTTAGTGTTGCCACTGAAATTTGAGAGCCCAAAGTCCGCCACAGGTATAGCATTGTTCTGTTAGGGTCTTTGACTTTCCAAATGCATTTTATTGTATGTAGAGCAAAACTGTATGCAGATTTTTAAATTATTTCCCTTGGATTTCTTCATCCCCCCCCCCCAATAACTTGGTTTAAGGGAAAAGAGAACAGAATGTCTGGAAGAAAAGTTGAAATAATATTTTATGGTGAAGTTCTAAAGGCTCATAAATTTTCAACGTGAAGCAATGCATCAGGGGTTTCTGAAGAGTGGTCCAGAAGCTTCATTTGGGTGGTCCACTGTCTGTCAGAAAAAAATACCATTAAAAACCATATAGCATCTAGCACTTAATATTACACTTGCTAAAACAGAAAAATAATTAAGTGGTTTCCCAAGATCCTCAGCAGTTTTCAAGTGGTCAGAAGTTTGGGTATGCCTGCATTAGATGTTACTTGATTGGATTGGTGCTTATTTTGGCTATATCTGTTGCCTTTCTTAACAAAGAAGCACAGTGGATATCTTACAAATATAGTTCTTCTGATTGAAGGACTGACTGTCAACACAAAACTTAACATCAGAACTATCCATAACTTTTAGTAAGAGGTGCAATGCATATTTATTATATATAAAAACACCCATAAATTAATAGAACAGTGAATTTAAAAGTTAAGTTAAAGTGCTTAACAGCTGCACTTATCTGGTGATATGAAATTACCGAAGAAGGACAGCATGATTATTACTATATAATAAAGAACAATTCTCAGTGTTCACATGGCTGAATTGATTTCACAACAGCTGAGCTTCTAAATAACAATTCAATATATTTAAAAACTCATACTGTGACTTGAAGATGCTGAATGTCAGTCTAAAATGAGTAATCGGTTTGCAGTAGAACTTCAGCTAAGAAGTAAGAAAACAGGTTTATTTGTGTATTTTTATTGGTTCAGCTGGTTCACAATCAAAACCATGGAACAAAATTTATCTGTATAACCAAAGCATTTCCTGCATATACTTGACAAAAACCTAAACAATTTTTTCACATCTGCAATGAGCCCTGTTGGTGGTGCTACTGGTCTGTCACAGAAGACCTAGCCAATTTTAAAGTCTGTTTGATGCATCTTTAAAAGTAAATTCAGATTTGGCCACAGTATGTTCATGTGAGAGAACATAAAATGGTTGTAACATTTTTTCATCTATATTTTTTGTTATCATGCTCAGGTAAGCTGTTTCTTATAATCTGAAACCTGGTCACGTAAACATGGGAAAGTATAGTAGAAACAATTGCTCATCTGACAGATGAAAGCCTAAATCTACAAGGGAAGCAGCAGTGGGGAAACATTAAATTAATAACTAGATTGCAATGTACAAGACTGAAACAAGAGACGGGGGCTTTACCAGCTTAGTGTATCAGAGGAGTGACAGAGCTAATTTCTTGGCAGAGAGTCAGATTTAGATAAAAGCTACAAGCTGGGCACATGCCGTTTCTCCTGTGACAGTTCCATGGGGATCTTCCCTTGATCCAATGCTTTCAACCTATAGGGTGGCTTTGGGTTGCCTACTTACTGATGTGTCTTTTCAAATGTTCATCCCTTCCAATAGATGATCATTCATTTCTCCATCCAACTGCACATAAAATGTTCATGGATATCTATGCTCTGTCACTCTTTCATAAGAGGATGTCAGACCTCGTGGCGTGTGCGAGATGAAGAAAGGCCACTCAGAGAGTCAAAATATGAACTTCCAGTGTGATATAGTCAATTATACACTTTCTTGGGAGTGAAGAGGTAGAGCAATGAATGAAACATGGCATGGTGTAATATTGAAATGGTCAGAGTAGCAAGCAACCTGAATCTGCACAAATGCATCAGATTTCAATCTTGGCTGTCTTTAGGAAAATTTTGGAGAAACTTATATCAAGCTTTTAAGACAATGAGGGAAGGGGGAGAGAGAACAAAAAATACATATTTTAAAGAAATCATTTGATCTTTTCGCAAATATAGAAAGAGCAAAAAAGAATTCAGTGCAGCAATAGTTGGATAGAATATAAGGTTGGGTCATAAGAACAACAGAGAATCTAGGACTTCTCTGTTTTTCTTTTACTTATATTACAGCTTGCTGGTAGTTTAGCATTATGTGATGCATCC